AAATTAATGAGTTATTACCAGGATTTTCAAAATGTTGGAATAAGTTAATTACCACTTAATACAGTAAGTGCTTCTGCTGGCTCTTTCTCACCATTTTGAAACTCTAATCATTAACAGAATTCAAATGAGTGCACTATTAGCACACCAATGCTAGTGTAATTTATTTTTACCTTTGAAAAATTGCACAAAACTATTTCACATAAAGGTAGAACAACTTCACTTTAAGGTTTTTGAACATACAGATAATTTTATTTCTTAAGATATACATTAATCCAGTTTTCAGTAAGTGTAGCTCAATATGCATTTCTTCTTGTGAAAATACATGCCAAAATAAAATTGGAAGGAATTCTCTTTTCTTAAATGGTACAATGGTGCTGCTGCTCTCAGAGTTGCTCCTTCCCCTGAAATACTGTTCTTCCACAGCAGCTTGAATTAGAGCATTAGGCCAAAGCACCTTAAAGCTCCATTAATATGCTGCATTAGATGTCAGGTTTGTGAGACTGAATTTAAGGTGACCTCCCGGGAACTTTAGCTGACAGAGTACTCAAAGGCTGGTTTCAGTAAGTCCAGTCTTGGGGTGAAAGGGATAAAAGTTTTTCACAATAAATTGAGTCATGCTATTTACTATGTTCATAATTGGAAATTTTACTCATATTATCTATAGGAAGCATAGACCATGATTCACCTTTGGGAAATGATAACATAACAGTAACACTGAGGATCAGTACTTTGCAGGGCTCACTTTGTGGTATGGTTTTGTTTAGGTTTTACAGCACTTCCAGTGATTTTCTTTTTTTCCCATTTTAAAATCCATGTTCTTTAAAAGTCCAAATACAGTGGGAGAAATTATGCCAACGGTTAGTTCCTGAAGCTCTGTGGCATTTACAATAGTCTCAGCAAGCAGATGAGCAGTTCCCACTCAGGGTTTTTGCTCTGGTCCTACAGCAGCAATGGGAAGTACTTACCTGTGTTACCTGTACTTTTGACTCCTGATTGTCCTGCTGCTAAAAGCCCAATGAGGACACAGGCTATGATTGCCACCAGGCAGAATAG